TTCGACACTCGGGACATAACGCAAGACGTATCTACAAATAACGAAGCTAGAATCCGCAGGAGACACTTGCTCGACGTGATTAAAGCCATTCGTAAACTCCTATCGTACACCATCTTACACACTCCACCGTCTACGCTCAGTCTCTTCAAACTCCCCTACCAAACCCACCCTTATTTATCTTATCGAAATATTCATCTACACAATGCGTCGCAACGCCATCGATGCCACTCAAAACGCGATATGTATATAACAATAGTTTCTCTTTCATACCAATCACATTCTCTCTCTCTTTTTCTCTTTCTCTCTCTCTCTCTCTCTCTTCCTCTCTATATCTTTTTCTTCTTCTCCTTTCTCGTCTCTCGTCGGTCGACCTGCGCCTCTCGAGTGCGGATCAGCCGGAACACCAAAGACGTCTATGAAGGCGAAGACGACGTCCGCGCGATGGATTGTCGAGTTCGCTACGCGTGCGGATGCGTGTGCGGATGCGGATGCGTCGACAGAGCAAGGCCCGTGGAGGATGGCGTGGAGGTTGGCGGTGGGCCGGACGCGGTGGCGGGAGTGGCGGACAGGTGATGACCGAAGAACGTCGGCCCTGTCGGAGGATAAGGTGGCGCGGCTGGGTGATAATAGCCAGGTGGCGGCGGTGGCACGGGCGGCGGATGATGGACGTGGGCGTGCGGATGGGGATGCGTGTGCGAGTGCGGCAGCGGGTGCTGATGAGGATGCGTGGCGAACAGGAAGGCAGGCGTGTAAGGCGGAGGATGCGGCGGTGTGGTGGGCACCGTGGGACTATTCACGTCCAGTCCTGGGTTCTGTTTCTTCCACTTGGTTCGCCGATTTTGAAACCAGATCTTCACCTGGGTCTCCGTCAACGAGAGGGACAGGGCTAGGTTCAGACGTTCGCAGACAGAGAGGTATCTGGTGGTCTTGAACTTGTTCTCCAGAGCGACCAGCTGTTCGTACGTGAACGCGGTCCTGGCTCTTCTGGGCTTGCCACCCGTGCCACCGCTTCCGCTCGTTCCGTTCTGGCTGCTCTGGTTCTGACCTTGGCAACCTTGAGCCTGAACGCTGCTGGACGACGACGAAGACGAGGACGATTGTCTCTTCTTGCAGTTGGACGATGGAACGTTGCTCACGGCGGTGGTACTACTCTCCCGGCCAGCGTTCGAGGATTCCTTGTCACCCGTCACCCTCATCTCAACGTCCTCGTCATCCTCCTCCTCCATGTCCGGATCCTCGTCCATGTCCTCCATGCCCGTGTCCGGTGTACCTTCCTCGTCCTCTTGGCCGCTGCCGCAGGCGAACTCGCCCCGCGAGTCCCCATCTGAAAATAGCAATAATACCGGAGGATCAGCGGGGAACGTCTCGCGGAGGAAGATTACCGTGGCAAGGAAAGCGATACGGTGTTGTGTGACGAAAATTGATTACGCCACAGGGGGGGTATAAAATTGCGCCGTGGGTGTCGGTTTACCTATGACAAAGCGGTAACGCGATCCCGGCCGCTGTTTCACACCCTGCCGTATCTCGCGTCGAGACGTGGAAGATGCGTCGAGTTCGAATTTGATATCATATTAAAAATAGAAAAGAGAA